CGTTAAAAAAAATATATATCAACTAATAAGAGTAATATTTACGGCATTAATAAGCAAAATAAATACTTAAGGATATTTTTTAAGAATGATGATCATAATTGCATCAATAAAGAAATTTACAAAAGTTTTTGAACTAATTTTATAATATAGCAGATTGAAAAGACTTCATCCATTTAGTTTCCAATTCATATTTTTATGGAATAGAAGCTGTTGGAAAAAAAAACAAGTTGCACGTTTTATGCAGAGGGAAGAGGGCGTGTGTGTCAGAGGGTTATCGGCAGAAACTCTCAAAACCAGATGACACGTCTTGATAAAACGGCGTTTTGGAATTCATGTGCTGCAGTCGCGATTTAAAAGCGGAAGAATTTATGATTATGAATATTTAATAGGCGATTTCGAATTTAAGTGCGATTTGGTACGAGAAGGTATTGAATTTCTACTTATCCCGCTCCGCCACTCACCCTTGCGCACATGGAGAAAAACAGCATATGAAAAAACGGGAGGGCCAAAGCAAAGGAGCTAGAAGTAGTATAGGAGAATGAAGGCGTGGAGACAAAAGAAAAGGAGAAAAGTTTTTCCTACTGGATTGAAGCCTTCGAGAAACAGTTATCCTTTTCAAGTTGTCCTTTTATCCGTGGCTTTGATTGCCCCCACCATTATTATGCTCCTCACGTTACTCTATTTTCTTTCAATTTCCAGGAGTATCAGGCCTTGTAATTCAAAAGACATCATCCGATGCTCCGCTAACACAACTCACTCACAACATGATAAATTATCCATTGTCGCCCCTGACTCTTTACCCTGGGCACATTTCCACTTTATACGCACACAAACATCCGACCATACACCCCCATCAGCACACACCCTCAGTCCTAGCGTCTTAACACCCCTTCATCAACAATAATTGGGCATGAATTCTAGTGAAAATCCATTTATACAACTTAATTACTCTGTTTATTGTTACCTAGTCTTACGAACACTGATGGTTCCTTGTAACACGATTATATATGATGAATATTATATATTAATTTCAAAAGATATTTACCAAAATTCAGTCCACATGCAAAACATGTCGCTTACAATAATAATAACCTTTGAAAAAAACATCTCATATAACTTTCTGTGTGTATTATGAGATTTTTTTTTATATTTTTTCGTTACAAAAATTTTCTATTTTAGTTTGTAAATTGTAATAATTCTTAACATACATATTAATATTCTAAAAAAAACTTTATTTAATAATCAATAAATATACGACTTCAGGGATCTAGACTTGTTTTAATACTAATAGTTTTTTTAAAGAATTTATGTTATTTTCTATTTATTTTTTATAATTACATCAATATTTATAGAATTATTAATGTAGAAGAAAATAATTGTGTGTATTGATATTTTAGAATTTATTTTTATCAATTAAATACTATAGTGAATCCGCACTGATTGAGCTGTATCTATTCCTGTATCTATTTTATTATATTTATTATTTGAAAAATTACTATTACTAAAAGAACAAAATAAATAGACGTTCGAAAAACTTGAATGTCGTTGAAATAGTAGAAAATTAGATTAATATTGTGTGCAAGAGGTCGAGGAGGAATTAAATAACATAATGCGCCTGTATTTGTTGAGCTTAAACCTCCGGAGAAATCCATATTAAAGTCACTGAGTGGGATTATGAAATGCTAGGTTTAAGCGCATTTACGTGCACTGCACTTTGTACACAAATGAATCCGCTTGGTCGTATGCATGTAGGTGCACGATTCACAGTTTGTACGTAGACACAGAGAGTATGTGAGTATGTTTGTACATGTTAAATGAGTCGTAATTAAACTGAACTTTTTCTAACGCAATTTCCCACATTATAATCGTATTCAACGGCATGTAAAACGGTCTAGTTGTTCTAAAAATAAAATTAACATATATTTTCATTGCGTCCAATGCACGTTATATAATCACACTCATTGAACATGTAATTATTTTAATTCATATTTATGAAAGTTATTATTATTAATATATATCGTAAATTCTATTTTGTAATTGTTTTTTTTATTATTATCAAATATATTTTATATTATTAATAGCTGATAAATACGTATGTACTTTAAAAAAAATCATAATTAATAAACAATGAAAATATGCGTTTTTGCATACCGCATATATACATTTTGAACGTAATAAAAATATAAACAAAGGCCAATAACAAATATTTTCTTTACATTTTAATAATATTATTTTTTTAATATATTGAAATTATAAAGTAATTTTTGATTCCACTTTTTAATTTGTTTCCTTGTTTTATATAATTAATAACAAAAATAAGAACAATATTTATTGTAATGGTTATATATAAACCATTACAATAAATATTGTTCTTATTTTTGTTATTAATTATAAACGTACATCCGCATTACAAATAATTAGACACACCTTCACATCTCCGGTGTACTAAAATAGTAATTTTCGTTGAAGTATGAAAACAATCAAAGTTTTTCTTATTATTCTATCTTCAGCCATAAAACCTTCATCAAATTCAACAAATTGTTTTCTCACGTGGCTGAAATAGCATAATATCCTCTAATTTTTCTTTCGCATATTTCGCATGAATTTGCATAAATTTGAATTCGGATATAAATATGGTCCCTGTCTGAATTGAAATTCAACATTTGCGAAACGAATTTGGAACAGGTGATGAGAGCATTGAGTAAAAAGAACGAAGAACAAAAACAGAATATTATATGTATGGTAATTCGTAATTTAGCACAAAAAAGGAAATTGCGTAATTCAAACGGCGCATGAATCGAGGTTTACCTGTATTGAATATGAAAAAAAAAAACCGGCGAGAGAAAGGGTTGTAAATGCGTGTTGGGTCCTTCATTTTACAGGATGAAAGGAAACGAGGTGCGTGAATGGCATGCGAATGCACACTGTGATTATTAGTGTTTTAGCGTACGTGTGTTTGGGTGGGTGTGTTTTTGGGCGTCTGGTAAATTTGGTGGAACTGTACTGGAGCATTCTCAGACTCATAAAGGGGCTTTACAAGAAAACGTGCCGTCATTTGTATCGGGTCGAAACGGGAGGGTAGCCCTGACGAAAGTCAATACACGTCGTGTCGTCTCCGACTATCCTCGCAAAAGGATTCATAACACACAAAATGAGCTTGTCTAGAACGCAACGTGCATGAAGAATTGGATTTCCTTAACCCATTTCCATAATAACTTATTTCAAGTCCATGCACTTCGCTGGAACCACTTAATTGTTATCCGCCGAGAGGAAACGTGTCAATCTAATACCGAATTATTCATACCCTTATAAAACTAAAACAGTTCAAAGCTATGATTCTTTGCGGAATACTAACAGAATACTAAATACTAGATGAAGTAATGTATTTATAATAACTTTTGAACACATTGAAGCTGTTTACATACAAACAACTACTTTTATTTCGTGTGAACTTCTTAAAATGAAATATAATTGTTAAATTGTATAGTAATATTATTCACTTTATTTTTAATGTTTCTAAATAAAATATCTTACTGTAAAGAAAAAAACAAAATGAAAAAAGTTAAAGGAAAATCTTAAATTAGGTAGAAATTAATGAGTTCAAATAATAAGGCATCATTTACACTCCATAAATTTAAAACGTCTGTTCTGTAATTTAAATACACCAGTAAACAGAAGTCGTTAGTGAAACATCAAAACCAAAAGCGTTGCAGGCCCGGCGAATCCACCGAAAATATTTATAATGAGTTCATTTGCGTGCTCCCTGGGTGGTTGCTTCTGTTCTCTTTCTTCCAGAAAGAAATGAACTTATCAATCTTAGTACTAATTATAACCGTTCCTATATCATTGATCAACATGTTTTTAGATAACCAATTTCATACTTATATTATAATTACAACAATACCTCGCAAAGTATGGGTATTGAATTTTAATTAAACAAAATTTAAAACAAATCTATAAAACTTCATCTCATCCTACAATTATTAAAACTAACATCATTCACGTACAAAAATATGATTTTATTCAAAATTATACTTATAAAACACTCTAAAAATGACAGTTTTTCAATATATTTCACTAATACAACAAATACCTCGCATAGTACAATTCATCCTTTTGAAGCACATATAAATAATAAACCCTACAACAAGAGATTTCATTGTTTCAAAGAAAAATCAATCATTTATATATAAAAAAAAATTGTGTAGTATTTTTTTTAGAATTTATTTAGTTTTTTTTTTTCAAATAATATCCAGACTAACCGAAATCACACAATATATTGTTGCATATTGAAAAATAATGTTTTGAAATATACGTTTAAATATTTTTATTTTTTCAATTATGTAATTATATTTGTCAAATTCAGTCTAAACTAACTACTTGATTAGAAAAGACTAATATTGAAAACATAAATTTAAAGAAATTTTTGAAAATTACTTATTTGTAAGAATTAATGACAAAATGAAGCAAATATTAACAATATCAATTTAATATTCCCTCAAACTAAGTAATAACTTAAAAAAATAGTAGTTTTTTACTTACTAAATTCTCTAATGCTACTACTTAACAATATATTCCAAAATTGTTTTATATGAAAAAATTGTTAAAATTCATTTTTTTATTAAATGAATTATTCAAATTTTGATTCAGTTGGTAGAAAATTATATATTTCAAGGTGTAATAAAAACTGCATCACTCGTAGAATAATAATTACAAACTGTGATGTCTAATGAAATAATCTGTTAAGCCTCTTACGAATTCAAACAATTAGCCGGTATACTCTAATTGAGTTGTAATTCAAATGCAATTTATAAAATGAAACCGCGATCTCATTAAGTAATGAAGTTCAGCGTCGACCGAAATGTCGGTACCCCATTTGCGGGGATCCAACGTTTGGGGTCTCCGTACAGAGAGAATATTGTGTGTATACATTATTTAAGCGGTAGGGGTGGGTAAATTTGATGATATGTGTGAAGTTGAAAGTTGAAGCGGGAACTTACCAACATCTGAGCAGCCGCCCCACGTGCCCTGCTGCGCCTGCCTCGCTAGTTTATTAATTGCATCCACGTATAAGCGGGATGCTGCGGCAGCACCTGTAACAAACACAAGACTTAATAACTTTCACTTTAATTATGTAATCTTAGCTACGGACAATTTTTTAATTAACCCAATGCCAGTGTCTCATTTGTTGAGAGTTAACACGTTCAACTTAGGTGTGATTTACAAAATTTATTTATAAACTTTAACTATTTAGTTTCACATCATATAGTAAAGTAAATTGAATTACAAATAACTAGAATCGACTAGAATCGACTAGAATCGACTAGAATCGACTAGAATCGACTAGAATCGACTAGAATCGACTAGAATCGACTAGAATCGACTAGAATCGACTAGAATCGACTA